TCTACCCCCCTCATTCATTTCTTCTATGACCACCACAGGTTTGAGGGGAAGTGAGGGAGAATCTCCCTAATAGGGGCACAGACATGAAAAAACCTGCCAAATATGTGATTTCTTTCATAGTCTATCCAAAACAAAACAATGTCTGTAATTATAATCTATAACCCCTAAGAAACATTAAAAGTTGCTATACAGCACAACCCAAATTACATGCATCGATGCACTGCAGTGTCATTAATTTCAAATAGCACCCCCAATGCACATGTGCACAATAAATTTAGTGACGTAAGTTTTTGGGATGTTTTGGTGTGTTGGAAGCCCATCAATTTCAATAGACTGCCTTTACCTCCCCCTGGTGGTCTAACTAATCAATATTTTTGAATGTCAAAGCGGTACATTGTTTTGCATGGAAATTTGTTGTTTTATATTGTAGGCCTGTAATTCTTAGGAATAACTCATTTAAATCTGTCCAAACAAGACTCTAGTAAACATCCCGGGTATGAAAAAGTTTGAAACACGAAATCATAATATAATAATAATAAAAAATAATAATATAATAATAAATGCAATTCAATAATGTAATCAAACCAAAAACACTGAAATTTGAAATAGAGCACCAAGTTTTCGCACATCACTGAGCAAAGTCGCAGAATCGTTTTCAGTGTCTGATGACGAATTTCCCCACAAATCACTATTGCTCAATTCTGCAAGTGATTTTAATTCCTGTTTTCTAGCTGGTCTAAAACCTAGGCAGAAAGAAAGGCTTTTCAAGCAGAAAGAACAGTAAAAAGGCAGGCAGGGCACTAGACAAAGCACTAGGGACAACATTTAGGTGAAATGGTTTGATAAAGTAATGTAATACTAACAGATTATAGTGTATCGTGTTTATGTCAAATTTTTACTTATTTGAATCTCCTGCCGATTCCGCCCCCCCATACGTCCTGACTCTCGCAGGGAATGGAACCTGGAATATGGATGCCAGCATCGTCCGGAGGACATGGCCGGGGGACACAGCGGGAGGACCTCGAGGGATCATGGAACAGGGTAATGCTTGAGGGATCACCAGAGAAGCTCTGCAGTATAATCCCGAGTGTGGCTCATAGTTAGTGCTTATGGCACTGAAATTAACCCTGAGCCACACTCTGGATTACCGCTAGGAAGGTGAAAGTGGTAGTAAACTCTCGTTGTTTATTTTTACCTACAGGAAAGCTTTTAAGAAGCTTACCTGTAGGCAAAATAAATATCTCCTCAACGTTCACCATTTAGGAGATATTCTACAGAGCAGCAGCCAGTGACATAACCAGCGCATGTGTTCTGAAGGAACAGCATTCCCATGGAGTTCATTCGGAGCTGTGCGCCATGGCTGAGACTCCCGCGTCTGTGCAGGAGTGATGTCATCAGCAGCTCAGCCATTCAAGCAGCAGCAACCTGCGAACCTGAAAGGAAGATGGGGTGAAGGTGGAAGCCTCTGCAGCGGTGACAGCATGTCACTGGAGGGCTTTGTTCTAAGGTAAGTCTTTCATAATGTACTAGTATGCGATGCATAATAGCACATTATGATATTCCCTGATATTATGATATTGCAGGAAACTTTCCCTGATATGATATTGCAGGAAACTTTCCCTGATATGATATTACAGGAAACTTTTTTAAAACGAGTTTACTACTGCTTTAAAGTTCAGTTTCCAGAGAATTGCTTATGGCTTCAGAGGGCCCCTAGTAGGCATTTAAAAAAAGTGTGCAGATTTGAAAAATATGAATTAATTATATTGTAATATCTGTAGGCCATTTGGGCCCCCCAGAAACTTGGCTGAAAAAAAACCCAGTTAACAGTCACCACTTCCTGCCTTTTTAATAAGGTCCTAAAACCGCTGGACGCTCACAGCAAAAAAAACTTTTTTTTTTTTTTGCATCCTAGCAACAAGGCAGGATATGGCGACTGATGACTGGGAGTTTTCCAGCCAGGCTTCCAGGGGGGCATAAATGGCTTACAGATATGACAATAAAATTAATGTATATGTGAACCCTCACCTTGTAAAGCAACCCATTCAATTTAAAATAGAAGCAAAAGGCAAAATATTTGTGTATACACATAAAAGACATTATGAATATATTTTTTTCCCTTTTTTATAAGTGATCATATACCCTTTATTTAGCACGGAGCACTTTTTAGGAAGAATTATTATGAATTTGAAGGTTGATTTGGACATTTGAAAGGACACTGTCGATGAAATCACTGTTGAGCGCTGTCTATACATCTCTGCACACCTACATACTACAGTATCAGATGTCCTTCTTCCATTCTGAGGTGTGAAGGTGCCAAGTAATGTAGCAGGTCGTTAGCTCCGTACTCCGTGCAGACACACTGTGATTACACGCAGACACGCATAATAAATATAACCTGTCACTGTCAATAATTTATTTCATAGCCTCTGGCAGGGCCCGCCTCTCCAGAGGTTATAATACCTGACAGGTAAAGTAAATGAAATCTATAAATAACTCGCCCACTTATTGGCTGCTGGGCACAAATACACAACACGTGAAGCGGACTAACCAATCATGGCTGCCGAGGATCTCGGGAGCTCCCTTAGGCTGTCTGAACTTTGACTGACCGTGACCACAGCCAATAGTATCACTCAGTGGTTTTGTGTCCCACCCAGATGCGAGTGATTGGAGAATTCGGGAACTGGGGTGGTGACGTTAGGGGGGGGGTCATTGAGCCGCAACCTGCCATTCTTCTCTGTAGCGACGTCCGTTCTCTCCAATCACGGATAAACTCCGCGCACCTTTCAACTTCTATTGGTTGCTGCAACTGGGGTGGGTTGGGTTTCTTGTTCAGAGTGGCAGCCCATTCGCCCAATGAGCGGTCAGTACGAACTAGGGCGCTGTGTGAGGAGGTGCGCGGGATGTCGGCCGCTCGGAGCCTCGGGTAGAACGGGAGGATATACGAGCTTTGTGGGCGGAGATAGAAGAAGGCCCGGTACGTCGGGAAGGCCGGGGGGAGCCGTACAGCTGATAAGTGCGTGGCTGAGGTGAGGGTGGAAGCAGCTGGGACGTTTACATCACCTGTTTACTTCATTGTGCCCAGGCAGGAGAGGAGAGCTGTCTGGGCTGTGCATGCAGACTGAGGGAAATGTGGACAGCTCTCCCTCAGCACAGTCAGGGCACTGAAGTGTTGCTGTGCATCCTATGTGGCCCTGCAGATGTTGGGTCATTCCGGCTCCCAGCTTGTTCTGTCACACACAGCCTGGCAGGGCATTGTAGGACTTGTAGTTCCTCAGCAGCTGCAGGCCGGGTTATTACTGACTTTAGACCTGATTGATGCATACATATAAATAGCTGGTCGGCCTGTGGATTGTTACAGCCAAGTCTGTTTAGTCCTGCTGTACCCCTCAGGCTCCTGGGACTGCATCAGCACAAACGTACCTTGGCGCATGTAGGTGTGTGCACGCCGGCCTTCATTTACCTCTGTGATGACAGCAGGGCGTCGTGCACACACAGCATGGCTCAGTCTTGCAGGACACAGACCAAAGATAGGCGGCTGTCTGTGTCTGGAGAAATGTGGCGCAGTGCTGTCCTTCCCTGCGCACATGCTTGATACCTGCTTTTGTCGTAGAGCTGAATGTGGCGCTACATGGGCTGAAAGCGGTATTAAAATGATATTAAAAGTTATATATATTTTATAAAATAACAAACATGTTATACTTGCTTATTGCCCAGAGCGGCCCCGATCCTCCTCTTCTTGGGGCCCCTGCCTGTAGTTCCTCCTCTTCTCCAAGTGCCCCTATAGCAAGCTGCTATGCGGGCACTTTTGCGTGATCACTCCCTAGACCCACTTTGTGTCCATAAGACACACAGAATGGGGCTTGACCCCGCCCCCTCCTTGCTGTCAGTGATTGACAGCAGTGGGAGCCAATAAAGGGGCAGAGACCCGAGAGAACAACCGTGCACGTTGCTGGATCACGATTGGGCTCGGGTAAGTATTGGGGGGCAGCTGCATACTGAAGGTTTTTTACCTTCATGCATAAAATAGGTAAGCTTACAATCGGGCTTACCTGATGGTACAATGAATATCTCCTAAACGTGCAACATTTAGGAGATCTTCTCATAGGTAATAGCTGAAGGTGTCACCCCCATATGTGCAGTGATGCTCTGCATTCAGGGCACACAGTATGCTGTTGAATGCAGAGCACCATGCTGCAGCTACCATGCACATGCATGGAAGTGATATCATTACGGCCTTGGCCATTTAGATGGCTGGAGCTCATGAACCTAAAAGGAAGACCTGGTGAAGATGGACGCAGTGGGGGAGCTGTGACAGCACTGCGGGCTCCATGTACAGGTGTGTGTTATGATGTGCTGCATACTGGCACATTATGGGTTAGACCTGCAGGGGACCCAAATGTCTTTTTTTTTTTTTTTTTTTTTTTTTTTTTTGCGGTTTACAGCCTCTTTAAAGTCTGTGTTCACCTTTTGCAGACAAAAGTGCATTTATTTTTTTTTCCTACAGGAGCATGCAAAGCATTGCACCCGGCATCAGTAGTGTAATGTCAGGCTCCTGAAGATACTTCCTCCAGCTTTCTTGCCCATACTTCTGTATGAGATTTCTGTTAAAAAAACTGGAGGACATATCAATGGACTACGAGGGTGCTCATCAGCACCTTCACAGCCCATTGAGAACTACAAGCTGTCTGCTGCTGTGGCAGACGGATCTTGTAGTTTCATCATTCATAGCAGTCTGGGAATGATGAATGACATAGCTGTGTAGGTGGAGCCCTGCGCAGTTGCTCTGTGATCCACCTACCGCTGTTAGAGTGGAAGAAGTGAGCAGGGCACGAGCTGGAACATGTTAGTCCTTAATTATGAGTGTAACATGTTCCAAAGGTGCACTTATCTTTTAAAGCGGAGCTCCACTTACGCTGTCAAAAAATAAAAGTCAGCAGCTACAAAAACTGTAGCTGCTGACATTTAAAAAAACATCCACTTACCTGTCCTTTGGTCATGCAGTGTGTCCCCTGCAGCTCGTTTCACTGGCCAGCCAGTATCCCAGGAGGCCGGCATCTTCAGTGTGGGCACCTGGCTGTGATAGCTTGCGGCTTCACAGCCGGGTACCCACTGCGCATGCGCGAGTAGCTCTGCGCTTTATGAATGGTCCTGTAGTATTCTGGGACCTGTCACGTGTCCCAAAAGACTATGGGGAGGGAGGAAGGGAGGACACCTTCCGCTTCCGATCGCCTAGGCAATAGGATTGGAAGTGGGAGCGGGTACCTGTCAAATTCAGGTATCTGCTCCCCCCCACCGCCCCCCAAAGGTGCCAATCCTTAATGGGGAGCAGTCCTTAAAGCGGAACTTCCCCTTTTTGGTTGAGCTCCGCTTTAAATTCAAAAACCAAAAATATATATATTTCAGTTTACCAAACCTGTCTAATGGTTCGGGTCACCTGCTGTTGCGGGTATGCTATCCTTGGGTGTTGGTCTTCAATTGGCCAGCTTGAGATGACTTAACTCCTGGTAAACCATGCTGGCATCATAAGCTGAGCTGTTCATGTGTACCTCGCTTCATGTGCCTCGGAGGACTGTGATCAGACAGGTAGATGTATTTTATTGCAGAGCTGACATTTCAAGTCTCTTCTGCAATGATGGCCTTCTCACAGTCTGTTCTAAAAAGCCTTTAATTCCACTTTAAATGTGGTAGATGCTTTAGTTTTCTTTTTTTTCGTCTATATTTTCACCTGGTAATCTGGTCAGTACATACTTCCTGTCTTAAAGCAGTATTAAACCTAAAGCAGTATACCAATTCATAGATGTGATGGCTGTAATTTTTTTTTAGCTGTTCTTACCTTATTTTGGTGATCCAGCCAGTGCTTCTGTTTTTTTCAACAAAACAAGCTGTCGTGCAAATGTAGCAGTTAGTGTTGAGACAAACCATTTTCCGCTGACGGATGCTTACAGCGATCAGCTTTATATTTATGTGCAAACTTTATACCACAAAAGTAAAAATAACAGTTGCTGTAACTGCAGTGTGAGGTGGAGTTTGGCTTAATTTTGATAGTACATCTAACACTTCACTCAGAATGCTGCTGTCCAAAGGCACGCCAGTGCTCTTTCATCCATAGTGGGGCACTCTAATATAGGAAGTGTGTTTCTGGCCAGATCACAGGTGAAAACAGAGAAAAAGCCTAAAAAATAAAACTAATGCAGTTGTCCCATTTTAGGATTGGTAAACTGGAATATATTACATTTTTGGTTTGGATTTAATACCGGTTTAAGGTGTCTTCACTCTGGATGGGAGACCAACAGAGACTACTTTGGAGAGCAGAATTGTCAATCTGTAGAGAGGGTAGTGTCAGAGACAACAGAAGATTTTAATGGACTTGGCTAGCAAATTGAAGCTGAATTCTAGCTAACACTTTTAAGCAGTTATAGCAACAGTTTTTTTTTTAAATTGTTTTGGGATAAAGATTTTACATAAATAAAACCAGAGCATTGTAAGCACCCCTGTCATTGGTGAATGGTTTGTCTCAGCGCTCTGACACTTTTGCTGGACAGATTGGTCTGACAAAGTTTAGAGTGTAACTATAACCAAATTAAAAAAGAGCCCTAACATAGCCGTCTCCCTGTAACTTACTTTTGTTACCTGCTCCTCAATAGATACAGTGAATGTAGCCACCCTAAGACAGGAGGTGTGTTACTAGATGAAAATAAAAGAATTACAAGCTTGAAGAAAAAAAGAAAACTAAACACTTTAAAATAACAGACCTAAAGTTGTAGTAAAGCCTAACACTAACTTAAACTTTTTTCCTCCCCCTATTCTTACCTATTCTACCTATCCTGCATAAACAGTCGTTGTCAACGCTCCCTCCTCTCCCATGCAGCAGCTGCTCTCTGATACAGGTGACTCAGAGCTGCAGGATCTTGTGACCAGACCAGAGGTTTTTTTATGCAGGATAGGTAGGAGGAGGGAGAAGGGAACATTTTTTTTTGGTGTAGTTGAGAGCCAGGGATTTCTTCTACTTAAAGTGGAGTTCCAGCTGATTGTGTTTATTAAAAGTCAGCAGGTACAAAAACTGTACTTGCTGACTGTTAATAAACACACACTTACCTGTCCCAGAGTCCAGCGATGTGTTTACCCGCGCCGTCCCTTCTCTGTATGGAGCTGGCATCTCAACTGTGGGCACCAGGCTGTGACAGCTTGCGGCTTCACAGCCGGGTGCCCATTGCGCATGCGCGAGTTGCGCTGCGCATCCTAATTGGTCTGGCAATCTTCTGGGACCTGTGAAGGTTCCCAGGAGACTGCAGGAGGAAGGAGGGAATGAAACTTCTGGCTCAGTTTGCCGCAGCAAACTGAGCCAGAAGTGGGAACGGGTACCTGTCAAAACCAGGTACCTGCTCCCCCCCAAAAGGTGCCAAATATGCAGTGGAGGGGGGAAGGAGGCAAGCAAGCGGAGCTTCCACTTGGGTGGAACTCCGCTTTTAAGGCTTTGGCTTTGACTGTTGCACAACTGTTGCATTGGTAGTAGTAAGATGCGACTTTAATGAAATTTTTGAGAGTTTACATTGCATTCTGTGGCACTCAAGTCACCTAAGAGTAGTGCAGAAACCTTTTTAAAGTTGCTGCAACTTTACATTGCATAGATTGGAATGGCTTCCATTGAAATACATGGGCTGCGACTTTGGACACAGTCTCATGACAGGTTGCACAAGTGTGAATGGAGCCTTAATGTCTGGATCACCAGGTAAAATAAAAGAAAAAAGCATAAAAAAACGCAGCCACCACATCTAAAAATTGGTAAGCTGCAATATATAAATGTTTGTTTTTGGGTTTATTACTGCTTTGAAGTAGATGTAAACCCAGTCAATAAAATTTTATAAAAGCTTTAACTTGTGAAAGTAGATTTGAACTGTAACTGGGTGACATTTAGTTTGTCAAAGCACTGTGTATGTTGAACAATTGTCATTTTTTTTTATTTCATTTTAGAATATACACATTTTTGTGGTGCTGCTGATTTTCCTGTAACCTATAGGTCCAAAAAGGAAAGCAAAATCATTGTTCATGCAATCGTAGACTACTGAATTACCTTTCTGTAGGGTGGCAAGTTTGAAATCCCCTGTCTTTGGTACAGTCTCTGGCAAAGTCTTCTTCATTCAAAACATCTGGGTGTATTCACTGCTTGTACTCCTGCTATGCTCTTTGGCTCTTCCTGTCAATCACTACTGTGTCTTGTAGGGGTCAGCGGGAGGAACCACAGTATGTGTCAAAGGATGTGGGTGTGCAACACTATCAGACGTTTTGGTTGCTGAAGACTTTGCCAAAGGCTGTACTGCTTGAAGACAATAGAGTTCAGACTCACCACCTGTTGGGGATGTAAGTATTCACAGCCTTTTATTCTAGGAGCATTGCTTTTTATCTTTATTTTGGAAGCAACAGTCACTTTAAAACTTTGTCTACATGTGTTCGATAGAACATTTGGAACAGTTACATTTCCTCCTCTCACAGACCATCAGGACAGCCACACAGTTCAAAGCTGTAACGCCTTTGTTCTGGTTGGGAGTAAGAAATCCATGGGGACCAGATCTTGAGGAATTTCCCATGGATATCAGAAGAAATAGCAGGGAGATAAGCTTTCAATAGGTTTGGAAATCAAATCACTCCACAATGCTTACAGATACAGGGTTAATATAGGCTTCTTTTAGTCCCAGTTCACACTGATGTGAATCTTATGCGGATTAGATCTGATCCAAAAGGCATAGATTTTCATTGAAACAATAAAACAGTGTAAAACATGAAATGAATCAAAAATAATTATACACAAATCATAATAAATTCTGTGGTTATAAAATAAATGTCCAAAACCACCAAAATGAAAAAAAATATGTATATAAAATGTGTGTCCAAATACAAAAAGTGATGAAACCAAAAACAAAGAAAGTCCCCTTTTTAAACATGCAAATGGTGCTCCAAAAAAATTTAGGATAAGTGTAATACAGAGTAAAGACTCCATGGATCCACACCTTCCTGTGAATACTGATGTAGTCTGCACTCAACAGAGATAAGAATAAATTGCACTTTATGGATACAATATTATCCTCCAATTCCCAGGGAAAATTTCCTCTCCGTAGCCTCCTCCTATATACAAGAGCTTCCTTACATCCAACTTCAAAAGGGTTTTCCCCTCATAACGATGTGTTATAGGAAGACAAAGGAGAACCAATAGTGCAATATTGCAAAGACTTTTAATTGAATAAAATAGTGCTCAATCTACTCACATTATAACTTAAAATAAGTCGCCAATTGACAAAATCCTCAAACAGACTTCCCAGTGTAAAACGGATTCCAGAAAGTAAACCAAACTGGCAGCAGAGTAAGAGATCAGCTCTAAGCATGTACAAGACCCTGGAATGCACTGACCGGCATGCACTCCACTTACCCAGATATGACGTCACATGCTCAACATAGGAGACCGGAAGTACATCTGGCTGACATGTTTCGCCCCTGCTCCAGGGCGTTATCAAAGATAATGTCATCTGAAAAAACATTGTTTGCTATATAAGCATTTCACTTCTATGTGGTGCGATTCTGATCCAGTTCAGAAAAGGGTCCTGTGCGAGTTTAGTGCAGGTTTGGTGCAAATGTTATCTCTTTTTATCAAACCAAATCCCTTCGGAAATCACATTCATTCGCATTAGAATCACACTTGTCAACAGAAGTCACACTGTGAAATTGCATCAGATTTGCTAAGCATCAGTGTGAACCTAGCCTCAGTGTTTTTACTGCTTGTTGAGAATATGCAAATACTTTAGTGTTCATAATCTGGGTAAGGGACCTTTTATTAGAAGTAGTTACTTTGTAGGTAACTGTGAGAGTTGGTATTAATCAAATTGGTAGCAGTGGAAGTTTTGTATGTCACGGTTTACAGCAATGCATAGCTGTGTGCTTTTCTTTGTTTTTATTTATTGCTCTTGTATAACATATAAATGGACTGAACTGTCTCTATAATATACATATTAAATGCATTTTCTAGGTTTTTCTAGTAGTGGCCATCCCTGTTTTGGTGCTGGGCATGAATGTGTTCAGTAGATGTTCATTGCCTCTGGTAATATGCCTGCAATATTGATACTGTTTTCGTCTTTGTTGTATCATACTAATGTTAGGCTTAAAACATTTGTTATGTTTTAAATGCATTATAAACATGTTTGTAGCCTAGTGTTATATGCCAGGTACATGTCAATAGAAAATGGTTGGTGCTTGTGGTTTATAACTGGGTGTGTCTGTATCAAAGATGGATGCCAGTACTTTGATTTGTTTGGCAGGTTAAGGACAGAGTTTATGGATGTTGTGGAGGTAGGATGGAATTTGCTTATATTCAAGTTTAAGCTTGAATCCTAATACCATCTGAGTAATAAGACAGACTTTGAAAAGAGCAGTTACATGTGAAAGCCCATAGTAACTGGATGTTGTTACAAGGGTTTGTTCTGAATATCAATTCTAGCTTTCATTTTTTTTTTTTTTTGTAGATTTATAATCTTATATTTACTTTTTAGAGAATAAGAGAACACAATTTGATAATCATATGTCATAAACCATTTGCAAGATAGGTTTATTCTACCTATTATTAAACTCTATTCTACTTTTCTTCCCCACCTCTGATTTCCCTTAGTGAGACAAACGGACTGTGTCCAGGGCCATGCATATGTCTCAAACAGATGTACAGTATATGTTCAGATATGTGGGAAGATCTGTACCTCCTCTCCTGTCATTGATTTTTTTAACATGCTGCTGGCCACGACTTTGTGGAATTAAGGCCATGATGCATAACCATGGCCCTTTTCAATGCTGTATGCACCTTTGTGCCAATGTGAATGAGCCACAACTTGTAAAATCGTCTATCCTCTCACAACTGGTAACTCTGGTAGGCGAAATCGCCCACTAATATTTTTAAAAGGATAAGTTCACCTTTCATAACTTGTTACATGCATATTCACGGTGTAACATGTTACTGTTTTACAAGTCTCTGCACCCCTTGATCCCCCCTGATGTGACAGCTAGCGGGGAATCTGCTCCCTCCGCTTGCTGTCACAATTTTCAAAAACTTGGCTGTGAGTTCTGTGAATGGGAAACCTTGCTGCTGTCGGCTTGTAGTTCTCAATGAACTACCATGGTGCTGTTGAGCACTGATAGTTCATTGATTCTTTCTGTCAGTGTAAAACTACCTGATTGTAGGAGCAGATAGATTACACTGACTGTCTGCATTAGACATGCATGGCACAAGAAATCTGCTGGTTGATGGTTATTTTTTGTCAGTCCCCTTTCACATTGAACAGTGGAATGCAGTTGGATGCATTTTTGACTGCACTCCAACTGCATACACAGTCCAAAATTCAGGCTCTTCTATGGGCATAGTTAACACCATTGCAATTCAGTGCAGAAAAGTACACCATGCTGCATTTTTCCACACTGCAAAAATGCATACAAACACACTGCAATGCATAACCGTGCACATAGAAGCACAAGGAAAGAAATACGAAAGAAGTGACCTCACAGGAAAAATGCATTTAGAAAAACTCGTCAGCTGCATGTAAAATGCGCATCAAATAAATGCATAGATAGAAGGAAAAAATGTGCAGTTACTTGCAGTTTCTGGTGTGAATGGGCCCTAACGAGGTGAACTTCTCCTTTAAATCTTTTGGTCTTTGGTGTTGATAGCTGGAGGTCTTGGTTTTTTCATCCTGCTATGAAGTCTCTCATTCCCTACTAACTGGTGAGTGAAACTGCAAATTTATGTGCAGTAATTCAGCCAATAGCGTAAGTATGATCTAGCTGGTGTTTTTTTTTTTTTTTTTTTTTTTTTTTTTTTTAAGTACTGTTTGTCACTGAAAGCGAGTGAAAAACCAAAATTTGGCACCAGAATTGGAAAAGAAGGGAAAATATTGCAATGGGATTTCCCATCTCTTTAGGGACATTTTTTTTCTTACTTCCTGTTGTCTTGTAGCACAGAAAGTGAAAGGAAATCCCTTCAGTTGGACACCAATGGCAAAAAACACCTGACGGGTTCCAAACATCCCCTACTCTAGCCAAAGAAAGAAGAAAATGTTTTGGCTTTAAATTTTCTCTGAAGGGATAAATACATGGGCAGCTTTACTGTCATAATTCTGGGGATTTCATGGGAAATTGTTGGAATAGAATAAAGGTCAGCTGTTGCTGATTTGCTTTTAAAAGTGAAAGCCTCAGGGTTACTGTTATCATTGCTTCAAATTTAGCAAGACCACGACCTAAGACAACATATACCTAATGAGGTTTTAAGACTCCTAATTGCTCACATTGCTCATTACCATAACATTTAAAATCACCTTTGTAGTTTAGTCCAAAAAAAATGTTTTTTTTTGAGATTTGCGAATCATTGCATTCTGTTCT